TATAGTTCACAGTAGAATCCAGTATAATTCCCAATTGTATTACGTATAGTTCCCAGTAGAACCCAGTATAGTTCACAGTAGAATCCAGTATAATTCCCAATTGTATTACGTATAGTTCCCAGTAGAACCCAGTATAGTTCACAGTAGAATCCAGTATAATTCCCAATTGTATTACGTATAGTTCCCAGTAGAACCCAGTATAGTTCACAGTAGAATCCAGTATAATTCCCAATTGTATTATGTATAGTTCCCAGTAGAATCCAGTATAGTTCCCAGTAGAACCCAGTGTGCTGCTATGTCCACAGGTTCCCATTCTCCAAAGGTCCAAATCCAGAAGTCTTCCTATTGGCCAGTCCACCAGCTAACAGCAGAGACAGCCTTCCTGTTTATGTGAGCCATCGTTCCTGATTGGTCATGCTCAGGGAACCCTGTGTTCTCCATTCTGATTGGCTGCTGTTTTCAGATGGGAGAGGTGGGACCGGTCTGGCTCTATCCTACGTCTCCTTTGGACTGCGTCATCGCTGATCCCAAGAAGGAGTCCAAACTCTACGGTCTGAAGAGCTTCATCGAGTACCAGATCACTCCCAATGTGAGCCCACCGTCTCTGCTTCGCGCTAACCTGATAGCCATCAGATGTGGAACTCGGGTCCTCGGGAACTCTGGACCTGCTCCCACCCAATCTGTCTGAGGATTGGAGGGAGGTTTGGAAGAACCCTCTGAGCTAATTGGACAAAGCGACCCCTAGAGCTAACCTTAGGCCGTCTGCATCGGCTGGGCTAACGTTAGCTCCTCTGCATCGGCTGGGGCGAACGTTAGCCCCGGCCGCCGCAGACGGGCTAACGTTCGCCCGTCTGCAGTGGCCGGGGCTAACGTTAGCTCGTCTGCAGTGGCTGGGGCTAACATTAGCCCGTCTGCAGTGGCCGGGGCTAACATTAGCCCGTCTGCGTCGGCCGGGGCTAACATTAGCCCGTCTGCGGTGGCCGGGGCTAACATTAGCCCGTCTGCAGTGGCCGGGGCTGTAGATTCTGTTAGCAGCAGCTACACTACGTTTTCCTGTGCCGCCATGTTTGTTGTGGTTTTACTTCGGGGTCAGCAGCTCCTGCTTTCATCACAGCTTTATTTCCCGCCCTAAACCATAACACTGCAACATGATTGGCTGAGCTGGACTCGATTTGAGTGGCATCAGAATAAGATGGATTCCTCCTGCAGTGAAGCTCAGTACACTGTAGTACTCTGAATTAGTAGTATAGAATGATAGTACTGCTGCTGTCCTCAGTATTTGGTCCATCCTGCCATAGTGGTCTGTAGTAGTCTGTAGTAGTCTATAGTAGTCTGTAGTAGTCTGTAGTAGTCTGTAGTAGTCTATAGTAGTCTGTAGTATTCTATAGTAGTCTGTAGTAGTCTGTAGTAGTCTGTGATTTTCAGTACTATCTGTGTGGTTATTTATCCAGTAGAGGTGTGCAGGAGCATTTAGTCCTGTTTGGTAATGTGTAGTACTCGCTGACTGTGTGTACTACTGTGTTGTAGTATTGTTGTAGTATTTTTTAGTAGTAGTTCTCACAGCAGTGACCTCCTCCCTCAGACCACCAACAGACCTGTCAATCACCGCTACAAGCATTTTGATTGGCTGTATGAGCGTCTGCTGGAGAAGTTCGGCTCCCTGCTGCCAATCCCCTCTCTGCCTGACAAACAGGTGACAGGTGAGCTGTCGCCATGGCTACCTGCTTTACCTGTGACCCCCCCCCCCCTCTAACTGTCAGGTTTCTGCTGGTTTCTCAGGCAGGTTTGACGAGGACTTCATCCGGATCAGGATGGAGCGCCTGCAGGCCTGGATGACCCGCATGTGTCGCCACCCGGTGGTCTCTCAGAGCGAGGTCTTCCAGCTCTTCCTGACATATAAGGATGAGCGGGTGGGTGGTGCTGCCCCCTGGAGGTGGGGTCTGCTATGACGTCTTTGTTCTGATGAGCTTTGGATTTTTCAGGACTGGAAGTCTGGGAAGAGGAGAGCGGAGAAAGACGAGGCTGTGGGTCCCATCATGTTCAGTCTGGTCCAACCAGAGGCTGCAGAGCTGGATGCGGCTCAGGTGTAGGTCACCTGTCCACCCTGCCATCGCCGTGTCTACGTCTTCTACAGGTGTTCACCTCTGGTTTTGTTGCTAGGGAACAGACGTGTGAGCTCTACAGCCGCTTCACCCGATCCATGGAAGATGGAGTCAGAGATCTGCTGAACGTTGGACAGACTCACTGGAAGCGCTGCACTGGACGTGAGTATACGTGCTGCACCATCACCTCCCCCCACTGCACCATCACATCCACCCACTGCACCATCACA